TGCAGTCAGGGTTTTCAGGGCAAGTTGGGACATCACTCCCACCCTTTCCACTATCACTTGAGTGCTGCATAATCAAAACATTTCTGGTTACTGATCAATTGGCAACTCAGTAAAACTAAAATAATTATATGGGGAGAAAAAAGCTACTACCTTTCCTCATTACACAATTTAATATATTAACCATATTCATAATTTGTTTACCATTCATGAATAATCAAGATCTATGTTTTACTTAATCATTCACTCTTTTCAAATAAAGTATATGGAAATAATCCATATTAACAGTTTATACAACATGTACACAGTTTCTTTTTTTCATCCTTGTAACAGATTCAGGTGATAAAAAAAAACAATGTTTGGAGTGCAACCCATTAGGTTAAAGTGTTTTTTCTCTTATAAATACAGAATTTCATTAAATAATTTATTCTGGAAATGATAACAAATTGCAAGAAATATACATTTTATATTGCCATAATAATTTTAAATTCTAGAGTACCTTTTTTTATATTTCAAATTTAATACTTTTTTACTTATAAGGATATTCTGTCATTAAAAAAATCTGGTATTGTACACTTATACAATATATTTTGTATGTTAGTTCCCTAATCAAAAAGTTTGTGTGGCTAGTTTTGAGAGTTGTATCACAACATTATACTTGGTGTAATACAATCAGTGTAACTTGTACTTTTGACTATTACAATTTACAAGAGAGTTATATCAAGTTTAGTTCCACTACAGTAATTAACACTAATGGTTATAAGATCTGTAATATACTTTTTTTTATTCAAGACTGAAAATAATTCCTACAGAATTCTAATTTGTATTGCATCTTTAAAAAATTCTCCAACACATCAAGGACAAAGACTGCTTATTTATCTACACTAACTTGCTAATTAATCATAGAATTACCAATGTGGTCCAATGATATGGGCATAAATAAGCACTGTTGGATGTACCGACTTCTACATCCATTAATGACATACATTATAGGGACCACAGCCTATGACACTCTGTACTGCCATATGATACTACAATTGCCCTAATGTTTCCTCCCACTGTCCTACACTTGTCAGTACGTTCCCTGTAAAACAGGCTGATGAAATGTGCGTACTGTATGTCCAACTGGCTTCAATCATCTCAAGTATGTATGGGATGTTCTTAGGAACTGCATTTTATCTTGTCCTGTGAGTCCAGAGATGCGAGTCATGCTCAAAAAAGTTATTTCAAATATATGATATCAAGGATAGCTCAGAATCTTATAAATACTCTGATTTTAAGCTTCAAACATTAGTGGTAGAATACCTTTGCTCTTCATGGTGACCATACTTCCTACAAAATTGAAATCAACATCTGTCAAATCTTCATTAATAAGCATAGAGATGAACAACTCTTTCAAGTATTTCTGATCACAATGAATCATCAGATGTTTGATTTGTTTTTTCTTGTCATAAGTAAAATACAAGTCCCAATCATCATTAGTTTTTGGAGTTTAGTTCTACAAAATAATGAGTTTAAGCAAGGATCTCTTCTATTTTCAAAGGGGCATGGTAAGTGATGCTTGTGTTTATCATTTGTTCAAAGTATCTGTTGCCAGAGTTTAGAAATTGTGACAATTTAAATGGAGTGTGACTGCCACCTATGGGTGATAAACCAAGGGAAAAGAAAAATACACAGCCTTATAAAATGTAAAAAATGCCATTATGCCCCAAGTAACCTGTTCCTTTAACAGCTGTCAAAAGATAGATATTTTACACCTTACCAGACAAAGATGATAAAATTGTCATACTGCAGCGAACAACAAATCAGGAGCTGTTCATCTGAAAGCATAAATAAACCATGGGTTCAGTTGTGGTTAGAACATGAAACTTTATCAATGAATGACTAGAAGTGAAAGTATGGAGAAACCTACACGAGACACTTGAACCTGCTCATGTTGTTCAGACCAGCTGCTAGAGGTAATGCAATGGTATGGTTGAAATGTTCTCATGACAATAGATTGGTTTTTGACTCCTTTAGAAGAGTAAATTACATAAAACAGGTCTTATTATGTTTGTGGTTGAATGTCAGCTCCATTACCCAATGAAAAAAAGACAAAAACTTTTTGGAGCAAATCATTTTTCTGTTTATATGTATATAGTAAATTTTGTAAATAACTGTAATTCTATGTTTAAATTTTTATTTTTCACCAAATTTTTTTGCTGAAGTGTTGCAGAGCTAGGCAGAATGTGGAGGCTGCTCAACCACTTTATGTATCTCAGGATGTTGGCAGACCACAGAAGTTAAGTGTGTTTAGGACAATATGCCAAGCCATAAAATATGAGAGAAATATCTGAGGGGTGAATTATCCCAAGGTAATTGTAACCTGAGAAGAACTCAAGACCCATCTGGCTGATCATAATTACCAAGGATGGCCCATTTATTAGCACTAACAACTCTTACAGGTTGACAACCCTGTCCTACTTTCAATAAAGGGTTGCAGCCATTAAGTCTCATGTCTGTGAAATTACACTAACCTGACAGGAAACTCTCTGGATCTACCTTCCCATTACCAAGCAGCCTGGTAATGGGTAAGCAAGGTTCTCTTTTTTCAGTAGAAAAGATTGGGAGGGAGGAATTTGCAAAAGTAAGAACACCAGAGATGTGCATGAACTGAACAGAACTCATCTGCATAACGTCCCTTAATGAGAGACTGTGCAATGTGTTACTGTGAATAGGGACAGCACGAACTATCTTATTAAGAGGTTGTTTAACACCCCCCCCCCTTAATATAAATCAGTTATCAAGTGGAGAATACTGACTCTGAGAGCTTGACCAGCTAACCCAAACAAGCAGACATCTGAAGAGGAAGGAAAGCTGCAGCAAAGAAGGCCTTCCAGGATAAGGCTAAGAAGATTCAACTGTTCATATAGTAGTGGAAATGCAGACCCAATGAGTGTATCTGATATCTGCCATGTGAAAGCCCTCAGTACCATGTTGAAAAGATATAGGACACAAGGACTAAAAGAGCCCCTGTATGATCCAGGGGTTTTCTGCAAAGAGAGTCCACAAATATAAGAAGAGAGCCAAGAAGTTGCTCCAATAAAATTCATCTCTGACCCTTCGATGGCTAGCCTGTTGGAAGGGGTAAAGAGCCACAGGATGAGTAGCAGGATTGGGGGAGATAATTAGGCTCACAAGGTTGAGAAACCTGCTGAGTCCCCTAGAGCTAGATAAGCAAGAAACCAGAGTGAGAAAAGATGATGGCTGATGAGATGTCTCAGTTCTAGCTTCCAAAGTATAAGGAACATACCCAAAAAGAAACTTCTTGAAGAAAGAGTATCAAATGGCACTCAATGAGATAAAACATAGGGAATCTAGCTCTAGAAAGTAAGGCATCCCAACCATGCAACTCCCAGAAACAAAGAAATAACATTAACTGGGTAACTGCTGAAAAAGAAATCAAAGCCATTGTAAAAAACACTATTTGTTATAGGTAGGTGCAACCTTCCCCAGTAAAATTGTTGGGGTCACTATAGAGCTGCAGAGAGATGTCAAGAGGACAGATAGTGAAGAATATTAACATTTTCCTCCACTGAAAATGTATTTGCAATAAATTCTTACCTCAGTTCACATAATAGCTTTTTCTGACATGTACTGCCCTCTACATGCACAAATTTTTGCTTGCCACTAGACTTAATACTTCCACCTACCCTCACATAAGGCAGCTGCATGATAGCATGCAACAATTCTTCACCAATAAGAGTGTGACACAACTCCTAGCACAATTGACTCCCACTATGCAGCTTAGCTCAACTTCACTTTGAGATTGAACAACATAAAAGAAAACAACACCACAAGTGAGGAGGAAGGGTGGGAAGTGTGAGGGAAGGTAAGAATCCATTGGAAATACATTTTGATGGTAGGAAAATGTTAACTTCCGACATAATATCTTACTTGTGCTCACATAATAGCTAGAATTCCACACTGACCTGGTGGAAGGACTGGTGTAACAGTACCTAAATGTACTTCCTTCGTAGGGGCCCAAAGGAAGCCCATGAGGTGTGTGAATAAAGACACACCTGTAAGATACCACACCACTTCTGAGCCAGGTATACTCTTCACACTTGAAAATGATGTGTTGCAAAAAGGGCAGAAACATAGGAGGGACCCCATAAATAAATTAAATGATGAGACCCCTGGGATACAACGACTAGGGCATGGTGGACCATAAGGGGGAGTTTAACCTCAACAAACATTGACAGAACCGCGATATGGATATCCAGCCCATGGTAGAAAGAGGGTCCTCTACTGTTCACCTCAGACACAGGAACTGGAAGAAAAGAAGATCTCCTATTCCAAGGATCTGCATCACCATGTGTGCACATCCAATACAACCAACACCAGTACCCCTGGGAACCAGCATCATGAAAATGATAGGAAGGTGGATAGCAATGTTGAGATTCAACTCCAATCCAGAGCCAGTTTACAGTAGGAGGAGGGTACCTGGGCCACTCACATGTGAGAATTTATGTGGCTGGTCCAGCTCCAACCAACACCAGAACATCAGCCATCCCAAAAAAGAACGTCTGGGGTGATAGTAAGAAGGAGAGTGCCCAGCCAGAATGGTGAACTGTATTGTGGCTGAAATCGTCTAGTCCATAACCAGGAGGTACCTGGAATAGTACATCAAGTCCATGGTAGGGTAAGTGACTATGCATAAGAAGAACACCACTGCCCTAATTAAGCACACTCAGAAAGAAGTCTCCATGGTCCACCACATAGCAGTTAGGAGCTGGTAAGTGGTAAGGACTCCTTTACTCCACTGGAAGAATGGGAGGTCCTCGGGGTGTGTGTGCATGGGAGAGTCTGGAGGAATGCAGCACTGGAGATGGTGCAACAGAGGAATGCAAAACCTTATTTTGAAAAGCAGACCCTTCCTGATACAGTAAAACAAAGGAGCTATAGGGATGGGCAACAATCCCCTTCTGCTTTACTCATGTTAGTCCATGGGTGTATGGTCCAGAGTGAACATATTTTGGATGAAAAACCTACAATCAGTCTTGCAAAACACCCCATCTCAATGGT